CCAGCACCTGCGACACAGAGACGTACACGAGATCGTATTCGACGACCGCATTCTATCTGCCAAACAAAGACAGGCCAAACTTGTCCGTTCTAACGGACGCTCACGTGCGCCGCGTCCTCACCCAGCCTGGCGCTGCTGGCAATCTTACTGCCACTGGCGTCGAATTTGGCTATGGTGGCGATATTCATAGCGTGCGAGCCACCAGAGAGGTTATTTTGAGCGCCGGGTAGGAACATCTCATGCATGTCCGTTCTGTTTATTGAATGAGCGCGGCGTTCCACAGAGCGCTCAAGTCTCCGCAGATCCTAGAGTTGTCTGGGATTGGCCGAAATGATGTACTGTCGAAGATTGGAATTCCCGTCAAGCTCGATCTTCCTGGTGTCGGCGAAAACATGCAAGAACACATGGCACTTGCGATGTCGTGGGGTGTGTATCTCAGTCTGAGTGCCAACTTTTACTGAAAGCTATCACCTTAGAGCTAAAAGACGAGCTCTTGTAAGTAGTACTTTGACCCTAATACACGCAGTGTTTCTAACAAAGGTTCTGATTAGCAAGCGACCTCAGGAACACAGTGTTTCTACGATGCCCATGGCGTTCTTCCCTCTGGACCAGATCTCGGACAAGGCGGGACAGATCTGTGCACGGGCTAAGGAAGAGATCGGCAAGCTAGACCATGACACAGTTCCTGCCGGCTACGTCGACCAGACGCGACTACCGTTGGCGCGTCTTGACCCGAAGACAAGCAGTCCCATCTACGAGCTAACCGCGTCGCCCGGATTTCTATCAGGTCCCAGTGAGTTCGCATGAACTATTAGCCCTATGCACGACTGACTTTGTCAAGATCCACCTACCCCCGGAAAGCATTATATCACGCTCTTGGTGTTGGTTAATATCCTGTTCTCTCGTGGAAGCATCGTAAGCACTAGCCTCCCCTGTCCAATCACACCGCGCTGATGCATCTGACGTAGCACATCAGATCGAGTGACCCAAACGAGGATCCTGACCTCGACCCGCGCTACCTCGAACGCAACGTTGGTTAGTCGGATGGTAAAGCATCTTCTTCGCTGCGGCTAAGAGCAACAAACAGATGTGGACATGTTGCTTGAGGCGACCAAGTTCACGCGCAACCTGGCGAACAACAGTCCCATTAAAGACATGATTGGTACATTACCCGCTACATTCTACTTTGCCTCAGGATTGATAGAGAACTAGTTAAGGAGGTCAATCCTGGTCCCTCCATACAGACGGATGAGCAGCTCCTCAGTGAGTGCGTCTATGACTAGACCACATGGCCTGCTGACGTCGTGGTAGATTGGGCTAAGTCAATCCTCGCCTCTGGCCTCCGTGAGTTATCTAAAACTCAACCCTCTGCAGATCGTCTGATAGCAACCTCCACAGATACCGTGTCCTCACTCTCGATGTTGCCAAGAGAGAAGGACGGCGTTGTAGACCCCAAGCTGAAGGTTTACGGGACAGATAACCTGCGTGTCGTCGATCTCTCGATTGTTCCGCTGCACATCTGCTGCCACACACAGTGTGAGCCTCCGCAGATACGTCTTGAGCTGCCGTTGTTACTGAGTACCGTTCTTCGCCAGCCACGGCATACTTGCATCAGGGAAAAACGCCAGCGCCACACAGCGCTCCGGGTGCTGCGGGGTTCTGGTAGACTGGTAGAATGGTACCCGATTCGGCAGCCCTCTGTGGCTCTCGCTGCGCCTCCGTGGCACCAGTAGCTACCCGCCTTTGCTCAGTAGTTCACCGCAGTATGGCAGTAGCTTGTTTGTAGGTGCGAGTAGATTGTTACCACTTTCGGGGGCGTGGCGCACACAATCGCACCATAGATGTTAATGAGGGAAAACATATATTTAAACATATATTATGTTAGGTACATGTTGGTATGCTACACCTCCCTCTCATAGTCATATACTCATCACAACTTCGGCAGCATAAACAGTAAGCACAAGAGTACATCTGCAGCATGAGTTAGAGCTATTCATGGTAACAACAGAGAAGGCAGTACTCACACCTAAGTGCCAGGCTCTTCAGCAGTGGTCACCCTACTCAGCCTGGGAAGCGGTATTGGACTTGATAGTTATGAGGGACATGGTGGAGAGATCAGCATAGCCGGATTTCTATGAGCTAGTGCAAA